CAGAAGCATCATTTGCAAGTAATTACATCTTCATAAAGCGCGATAAGGGAACTTTACTATTTTACAGTTCATGTATGATGGATCTAGTTGACATTATATTCATTTCCTTCTCTTAAACAAAAGAATATATATATGTCTAAAGACTCCGGTAAGACTAGGGCGGAGCTAGCTCTTCGCTTACTTGTTCAGCCGAACCCAGTAGCTTTTGTCCAAACTCTGTATTTGTCTTATTAAATTCATTAAATATGTATAAATTATTAATTTGGAACCCTCTAACTTAAAAAAATAGAATCTTGAACCTATAAACTTCAAGTCCTGGATCCTCCTCGGGGTAAGACAGGTTAATGAATCACTTTCTTCCATAGGAACATTGCCAACTCTGAGATTGTTGAATGCTCTTTCATCTGGCTTCTCTGTGCTACATTTGATACAAATAAATAGTTTTTTGCCAGGAAATGAATTGAATGGAAATGGAATCGGTGCAAATATCACAGCCAATCAGTACAGCCGTGATGTTATCGCGTTTCACAAATTACTGCAAGAAATATATAAAGGGAAGGACGTTATGCCATTAGTCCTTGCACCGGGAGGAATATTTGATGCTGTTTGGTTCTCAAAGCTTATAGATAAAGCATCCGATTATCTTCAAGTGGTTACACATCACATTTACAATGTTGGTGGAGGTACATGCAGCTATTAGATCTATTTTTCCTTCTTCTAGCTCAACATTGTTATTGGAATAAAAGTTATCTTGTCTTTAGGCAATGACAGCGACCTAGTTCAGAGAATACTTGATCCTTTTCATCTGGATGAAGACTCCAAAATATTCAGAAATCTTCAAGGCGTTCTCCAAAATTTTGGAACTTCAGCAGTAGCATGGGTTGGTGAAAGTGGAGGGGTTTATAACAGTGGTCGCAATCTTGTTTCCAATAGCTTTGTGTCCAGCTTTTGGTAAAAACTCAACCTAAATGGTCTATACCCTGTGATAACCTTCTTGTCAAGGTTTCATTAGAAGCGATTTTGCCTCTTGCAAGTATGTAGGTATTTGGATCAGCTTGGGATGTCAGCCACGTTCGACACTAAGACATATTGTCGACAAACATTGGTTGGTGGAAACTATGGTCTCCTTAATACCATAACGTTTCATCCAAATCCTGACTATTATGGGTACGCCTTTGTTCTTTGGTTGAATAATTGAACATGAGATTCAAAATTTGCATCCACTGTTACAATAATCTAGAAAATGCTTTACTATGGCAATGTAACATATTCATTCTGCATTTTACTTATTGTTACTTGCATTCTCTTTCATGCACACAGTGCTCTCCTTTGGCACCGTTTGATGGGAAGGTTTGTTCTATCAACACAATTCCAAGGAACAAAAAAGCTACGAGCTTATGCCCACTGTTCAAAATCTTCTGTAAGTATAATAGTGTAAATTTAACCATGAGAGACTTGAAAATATCTCTGTGATCTACATTAGAGACAGAGGCGGAGCCAGAATTTGGAGCTTATGAGTTCGGAATTCTAGTTATTTTAAGTTGTTGGGTTCTGAATTTATAATATGTACATATTCAATGGATTTCCAAAGAAAAATAAAGGGTTTGGACCAAAGCTACTGCGTTCAACCGAACCCGTAAACTCTATGCTAGCTTCGACCCCGACTAGAGATTGTGATTTCTAAATACATATCGTTATGTAATTATGTTGCAGGACGGAATCACACTGTTGTTGATCAACATGGATGGTGGTGCAACGGTTAATGTAAGTGTTTCGGTCACACCTGCAAACGCAAACAAGGCGCCACTGCTGCTGCAAGTCATAAATGATCAGAATCCGAGACACGAAATCTGGAGGGAAGAATATCACCTTACAGCCAAAGATGGTGAATTACATAGTCAAACAGTGCTTTTAAATGGAAAAGAACTTAGTGTAGATCATTTTGGAAGAATCCCTCACTTGGAACCTATACGAGTGAAATCCTCCGAACCATTAGCTATTGCTCCTTTCTCACTTGTATTTGTTGACATCCCCACTGTTCAAGTTCCTGCTTGCAGTATGTTTACCAGAGAGTACATGTAAAGGTTGCTTCCTTTCCTTGATCATGAATTGATTTGGAGTAATAAAATAAAAATAAAAGATTTGATTTCGGTAATAAATACATGCTTACTACCTATGTTTTAAAAGGCGGGGGCGTGAGGCGAGGCGTTTTACTCTGATGAGCCGAGGCGTAAGCCCTGAGACATGGGGCGTAAGTACCACGGATTTTTAAATTTTACTAATTTCAAGAATTTTAAGATAGCATAAAATAAAAGTAATTATAAAAATTACATTAAAATCAAAAAATTCTAACAAATAATCTATTTAAAATATTTATAAAATTATAATTCAACTATGAATAATACAAATGTATGTCATATATCATAATATGCAAATTAGTTGTAATGTCGTTACAACTCAAATATCAAAAGTAATGTATCCGATGCGAAATTTTATATATCTCTCTATTGTAAGGAGTAATGAATCTTGACAAGTTTCGATATTATAATTTGATATTTTTTTAAAATATTTCTTTTATTTAATATGCTTTCTATTTGAAAGAGAATTTATATAAAAACATAATTCACAATTTAAATATGATTCTCTAGCATCATTTATTTTTTAGGTTTCAATAAGTTAATAAAGTGACACATAATTCATTATACTATACCATGATAACTAATTATTTGTAAATAGTCACTAGCTAATACTGAGCTTTAAATTAATAAGTATTGTATTTCGTAAACATGANTTCATGTGCAGATCATTCAGGTACCTCCACTCAGGCGCACTATCAGTGAGGCAGGAGGACTACAGACGAGTTCGAGGTAGATACTGGGAAAAGAGAATATTTAAAATTTATTATCGTAGAAGTCTTAATGGATAATGTACAAATTTTTTTATCTTAATTATGACATAAAATACTCTCAACTTAATGATTTATGATTAAGAAAAAAATAATTTTGAATAGTCAACGATTTATTTGAGGATTAACAAGGTTAGTTGCACACAATTGCATAAAGTTCTATTAGGCGAGCCCAGTACGTTGGGCGTTGGGCACCATACATAAGCCCAGGGGCGTTTTACAAGTGCTTCGCTCCAGGGCGAGCCTCGAACAAGTCCCAAACTATCTTTTAAAACAGAGCTTACAACTAACAGCATATTTTAAGTTTGATTCCAAAATTACTTTTTTTGAAAAGTACTTTCGCTAATAGATTTTTAGAAAAATACTCACTTAAGGGTTTTAACTTAATTATATAGTCATATACAATTTACCAATTATATACAAATTAATTTTAAATAAGTGTCCCTTGATTGTAGCCTTTTAATTTAGTAAATCCTGAAAAATCCTCACAATTCCTTACTTACCCACACAAACCCCAATCTTTCTCAAGGATTTTTCTCTTTTTCTCTTTGAAATCAACTCTCTTTCTATACCGATTCTACAAGGTTTTTTCTTCTAAAGCTCATAATTTTCTCTAACAATGGCGAAGAAAGGGATTGATTTTTTATCAATTTGAATTTTGCCATGGCTAGAGTTTGGAGCTTTTCTGGGCTTCCCCTTTTCTTTTTGGTATTCCGATACAGGGCTAGCAGCAAATGTATATTAATTATTTGGTTGGATTGTTCGAATTGAAATTGTCAATCAATAAATTTTGAAGGTGTTTGACTCTCCACCATTGACAACCATTAAAAAGTTGCGAAAATTTGAATTCGAATTCGGATTTTCAAACAATATTTTTTTTTTGGATTGGGTATTATAGCAAATGATTGGGAATACTCTATGGAGTTTATATCTCGATTTTGAGGGTATTTGGTAAAGATTAGATTTGATTTGGCTGGATTTTCAGATTGAAATTCGAAGCAGAAGTAGAGAACACACAACATACGAAATACATGTAAATCATATACAAAAGACATATCGTATAAAATTTGTATGAAAATTGTATTTAAGTTGTATGATGTTGTAGTTGTATTTAACTGGGTAAGAACGATGTATGAAAGTTGTAGAAAAGTTGTATACTGTATAATTAGTTGTTTGAAATTTATTTTTAGTATGTATGTTATTTTAAATATATCAAATTATGTATTAAATTTGAATGATATTTGTTTTACTTTGTATCTTGTTGTACCATACGTTATTCTTTTTTTAAAATGGGTAATTATGGCAAAGAGAGAGAAGATTTGCGCTATTTATGGCTTAAAATAGGTAACACACTACTGGAATGAGTAGTTAGATGGAAGGACAATTTGGACTTCGTTCCCTTCCTTTTTTCAAGCAAAGAATCCCTTAATTTAAGTTATTAATAATAGATTAGATTGTATATAATTTGTAAGAAAACTTGTTTAGGGTGGATAATATATAATATTTTGGATAATTTTAGTAAATAAGTTTCAAATATTGTATAGGAAGGAAAAAATTCCTAGAAAGTTATATGTACTGAAATCTAATAACGAGTATGTTGGGCTAAAACGGCCCAAAGATAATCTTACATGATATATATTGTCCTCTTTGATACTCTTAACATGGTACCGTATTTTTCGCTTTAGGCCAATCTCGCATTGTTTTTTCCGAAAGGCCTCACACCATTAGGAGTATCTAACTCCTTATAAATAACTTGGTTTTCTTTTCTATTTTCCATGCGGTACTTTATTCACACACACCTAATAGAATATGGGTTAAAACTTTGAAATCTAATCTATTTGAATTTAAAGATTAAAAGGGATATTTAAAATATTTAACTATCAGATCAAAACTATTTCATGAAGCCAAATATGCTAGCTGGTTACATTGTCTATTGAGGCGGCTGTAATACCACAGATTCTCTTATCCTTTCCATATGGCCAAAATAGCCGAACAAATGTACTGAAATCTGAACCATTGGATTAAAAGACGAATAGCTAAACACAAACAATACTAATATAAGATCAATTTTGAAGCATATTCCAATTTTCATCTCTTATTAAATAAGCCTCCAAGAGAATCTTAGTTCTAGTTTTACACTCCCTTTTTGTGATTAACTATGGTGAGTTGTCCCTATTTTCCATCACCATTCATCCAGTATTAAATAGCAGCAAAATATACCAAAAAGCCAGCTTCTTTGGGAACTCCTCAGATTTCCTAATATTGAGAGCTATATATGTAAATTTTACTTCAATAACAACAACGACGAACCTAGCGTAATCCCAAAAGTAAGGTCAGGTCTGGGAAGAATAGAGTGTACGTAGACCTTATCCGTACTTTGTGAGGGTAGATAGGCTGTTTCCGGGAAGAACATTACGATGGAAATTCAAGAAAGAAAGATGAAAGTAGAAAAAAGACAGAGTGTTGTATTAGTGCCATATCCATTCCAGGGGCATTTAACACCAATGCTGCAACTTGGTAGTATTCTTCATTCTCAAGGCTTTTCTGTTGTAGTCGCGCATACTGAATTCAATGCTCCTGATTATTCCAATCACCCTGAATTCGTCTTCCATTCTATGAACGACGGATTACAGGGACGTGACATGTCAATGCCGAGTCTAGAAAATATGTATGATCTGAACGAGAACTGTAAGGCGCCCCTTAAAAATTACCTCGTTAGGATGATGGTAGAGGATGGTGATGAACTTGCTTGTATCGTTTATGACAACGTTATGTTCTTTGTTGATGATATTGTTACTCAACTGAGGCTTCCTAGTATTGTCCTCCGCACTTTCAGTGCTACATATTTGCATTCTATGCTCACCATTCTTCAGCAACCAGAAAAATATCTTCCTTTTGAAGGTATGAAACCAGACACAACCTCTGCTTCAAGATTTAAATGACAAATTATTTCGGATTCAATACAACTAGCTAAGTACGTCTTAAATCCCAAAAAATAATTAGTTGGGGCTAGTTATATGAATCTTGACCGATCATGTTCCCCATTTAAGTTTATTTTAGGCAAACATTATACAAAATAAAAAATAAAAATGAAAATTACTAGAAGTTATGTATATTTCCTATTGGCATAAGAATCTCTAGTCGGAAACAGCCTCTCCATCTTCATAAGTTAGGGGTAAGGTCTACGTACACACTACCCTCCCCAGAACCCACTTGTGGGATTTTACTAGGTGTTGTTGTTGTTATAAGAATCTCTAATAGAGCTAAAAGACTTCTAAAAAGCATAGGAGCTAAAGTGAACGTATCAACCTGACTAAATATTATCAGCTAATTGGTATTGCATATATAAATCTTTTTCTTCTTTTGTACCCTATCTTTCGCTCATCTTTGTTGATTCCAAGAGATTGATTAGTTACTGCAATTCCAGATTCTCAGCTGCTGGATCCTTTGCCGGAGCTTCATCCCCTGAGGTTTAAGGATGTACCATTTCCTGTCATCGACAATACAGTTCCAGAACCGATACTAGAATTCTGTCGAGCAATGAGTGATATAGGATCTTCTGTCGCGACTATTTGGAACACGATGGAAGACCTGGAGAATTCATTGTTACTACGCGTTCAGGAACATTACAAGGTGCCTTTCTTCCCCATAGGTCCTCTACACAAAATGGCACCTTCAACCTCATCGACTAGCTTACTAGAAGAAGACGATAGCTGTATTGAGTGGCTCGACAGACAGGCTCCTAATTCAGTACTCTATGTCAGCTTGGGAAGCCTAGTAAAGATCGACGACAAGGAACTAATTGAGACTGCTTGGGGATTAGCTAACAGTGAGCAGCCGTTTTTATGGGTTGTTCGACCTGGCTCCGTCTCTGGTTTTCAATGGACTGAAGCCTTGCCCGAAGGTTTTGAGAAAACGATAGGAGAAAGAGGTCGGATAGTGAAATGGGCACCACAAAAACAGGTACTTGCTCATCCCGCGGTAGGAGGCTTTTTCACACATTGTGGTTGGAATTCTACACTTGAAAGTATTTGTGAAGAAGTCCCTGTGATATGCAGGCCAATTTTAGCAGACCAACCAGTGAACGCGAGGTATCTGAGCCAAATATATAAGATTGGCCTGGTATTGGAGGCGACAGAGAGATCGGTTATAGAGAAAACAGTAAGAAAACTCATGTTAAATGAAGAAGGTAAAGAAATGAAGAAAAGGGTAGTAGACATGAAACAACAGATTGTTGCTGGTATGCAGATTGATGGTTCTTCACATAAGAACTTGAATGACTTAGTACACTTCATTTCTTCCTTGCCTTCGCGCGCTCCACCAACGCCTGCTGTCGGGGCAATTCTCACCTCAAACTATATACCAAGCAAGACTATCATAGAGTCATGAATCAAATTCTTGTAATCTGCTAGCTTGGCAATACAAGAAGTCCTTATTAACAAAAGGATAAATAAGATAAGAAGTAAACAGACTTTATTTATCAATATTCCACAACAAAATTAAAAATGCTTTCAAATGTTCGATAGGTTAAACATGTCAGGGCAAGTTCTAGTTTAGAAATTATTCTTGATGAGCCTGATGAAATCGAAAAAAGAAGAGCAATTTGACTGGGAGGTTGAAACAAGAAAGAAATGCCCTTGATCACGCCCAACTATGCCTTATAAAAAGGACTCTGCGGACGTTGCAAATATAATCCGAGTATTACGCCCAGGATCGAATCCACAGAGAGTTAAGCTATCAACCGCTATCTTCAGACCCACTAAGTCTTCAGAACCAGCTTCTCAAATATTCAAATTCTCAGTTGAGTGTTCTTTAATAACTAGCTTGCAACTAACTAAATGGGTGTAACTAAATTAAAAGGGTTGTAAACAATTATGAGAAAAAACTAAGGCAATGATTTCCCCTATTGATGGAATCCCTTCTTTTTATGCTCATACAAATTTACCCACACATCTCTATCAATCATGAACGATAATCTTACCGCAAATCTCTCCCGAGTAATTACAGTAATCTACTATTGCACTCTCCCGAGCTACACTAGCTTACTTTATTTAGCACAATTCACTTTAGATTGCACCCAAGGCTTCGTTATTCCTAATCCCGCCTTTAAACCCGCAATTATAGATTCCTCTAATAATTTAGGAGTGGTATTGTTCAACAATACCCTAAATATGCACTTTTTCCAAGTTATGCACACTAAATAGGCACAGCTAATTGAGGATCCTGTCAATTAACTACAACGAACACGAAGTTGAACAAATAAAGATCAAACTAGCAATTTGTATTCACATAAATAAGAAGTTCATCACCCAATAGGTTCCATCAAAGCATTAGACAAGGAATTTAGCTACTCATGGCTATGGGAAAATAAACTAAGCTTGAATTCATCATAAAATCAAAAGAAAAGAAGAAAGATGTTTAGAGTATTTTCTCACAATGGTTTTCCTTGCTAAGAAACCTAAAAAATCAATACATGCCTCTCTTGGGCGAAGTCTAATGTTTTAAATAGGTTTTAGGTCTAAAAATCCCGTAATTGACACTTTGGTCCCTGAAGTTTACTGCGCCTGCCGCGGTTCTGCCGCGGTCGCGGTAGAACCGCGGCCAAATACCCTCGCGGATTCTCAATCTTCTGCAGCTGCTTCCCACCGCAGTTCTGCCGCGGTCGCGGTGGAACCGCGGTGGATCCAGTATTCTGAATCTTCGGCCTGTTTTGCATGGGTCACTTGGGAAATTTCACATTTGGCCTCTTTTTTATCACTTTTGACTCCAAAACTGCTCCTTAGCCTTCCTTATACATATATCACCTACAAATCATGAAAAGCACTAATGAGAGCATTTTGTCATCACTTTTAGCATTAAAACTACACAAGAAGGTGATTATTTAAGGTGTGATTATAGCCAAATTCACCTATTATCAACACCCCACACTTAAATCTTTGCTCGTACTCGAGCAAACTAAACCACACTTCTAGGCCTAACTGCTCAATGCATTGCCCCAATTTATGTCACACCTGCTATTATCAAAGGTTGGCCTAAGCGGTGCACAATCATATCTTAAATGCAGACTCTCATGCCAAGACACACTTGTGCTAACTCTAATTACTCTAACAGAAGTGAAGACTCACTTTTTCTTTCTGAGTCACATGCCCTCACATAAACAAAATCTGAGAGAAGTTCCACACACATAAAATTCAACAATAAGGAACCATATATGGAAAGAATTCACTCACTCTCAGCAAAGAGCATTCACATGCCACACAGACACACCATAAGCTTGCCCCTAGTGTAATACTCCACTAATCGAGCCATCCAGTCAAAGATCAAGAGGTCTTTATAGGTTGTAATGTAGGTTAAGGGACGGGTAGGATATATTTGGATATAGTGACTAACCTCCCTAAGCACTTTTAATGCACACTTCCTTTTATTTCACCTTTATGTTCAACCCAATCATTACTCCACATTTTGTTTCACTTGTGACCCCCACTTTTCTTTAGGTACAACTGGCTTCTTTTTTTTTTTTCTTCAGAGATTTATTATACAATGCCAGTTCACCAATCAGAACCTTCATTCTTGATTCCCTTTTTTTACTAACTCTCTCCCACCCCACACTTTGACTTTTGTATATTCTTTATAGATGCAAGTGCTTCTAGGAGGTAAAGGTTCAAACAATTAAGCTTATTCAAACACAGCGATTTAGATCATTATAGGGTTATCAAAGAACAGGCTTCAGGCTCAAAGGGGTTAACTATGGTAATATGCACAGGTGGATTCTCAAGTATAAACGGTTGCACAAAGAAATGCCTCAATCATCTCTAAAACCAAATGACTTCTATTTCGCTTTGCAAACACACAGGGCAAGTTCTAGGTATCGTATGCAGGCATAGGATGCAAGTAACAACTCACACACACTTAGCATGTAACTCATTCCGAATCAGTTTATCAACACAATCATACGAGTGTTCAAGCCAGACAAGATGTGCCAAATTAAGGCATAGATTATGAGTCCACAAACAAGCTTAGACCTTACACCCACAGTTCGTTCTCTTTGCAAGTGTGCACATTTGGGGTTACATTCTGACCTTCACCCATCTAATCCTAAAACTATAAAAGAAAAATCTACCTAACCCGGTTCAAGAAAAACCCTTGGAAAAGAACCGTGGCCAAAAGAAAAACCAATGGGGAGGTACTACACTACCTAAAAGAAGAAAATAAAATTAAAAAAAAAATTCTACATGGACTACTTCCCTCAAGAGTACTGTCCACATAGTCCGTCATCAGGAAGAGTCCTCTACAAGTTTTTGTTGTTTTTTTTTTTATATATATCTGACTTTGACCCTCAAGAGACCCGTCAACAAGTGTCCGTCGTTGGGCCAAGTCAGCTACTCCTAATATAACACACTCACATGTGTACACCACATCTAATGCTACAACACAACAACAGCTATATACATTTCAATACACAGTTAGAGCAAGTCTCCCACCCCACACTTAAAATCATGGCATGTCCCCATGTCATATCAATAAAGTAAAGAGCAGAAGGGTGAGAAGACTTCCCTGAGACTCAATCCGAGTCGGAGACGGTGCTGGGGTCTACATGGCAGGCCCTCCCTAATGCGCGTAGCCAAGCCATAAACCGGCTCTCAAATCTAGCCTGCCTCTGTGACATGGCGTCCATCCGTGTGTGTAGACCATCCACCGAGGTGCGGAGATCCGCGACCTCTTCCTCCAAGGAGTGCAGTATAGGCCGGGAGGACTGTGAGCGGGATAGGTCTGCTCCAGAATGGGGGCGCCGAGAGGGCCCGGCACTGTCAACAGACCTCCTGGACGGTGCAACCGGGACCGGATCATCCTCCTCATCATCAATCTCAATTGTAGTGCGGGTGCCCCTGCCCACTCTGATGCTAGAAGCTTTGAAAGCTGCTTTGGGAGGCAAATCGCCATCAGCAGGGTTGGTAGGGGTGTTTCTCATCAAGCACAATGTGGTCACCAAGGAAGGGAAATAGAATCCCTTTGTCAGCAGCGGGCCCCGTAAGACCATTTCATCTCCAATTACCCGTGCCGCATCAAAATCCTTCCCTGTCACAAAGCACCAAGTCAATAGTGCCCTATTGAAGTTCACGTCCATGGTATTGCTAGAAGGCAGGAACCTGCTACAGATAACAGTCAACCAACACTTGGCCAGGTGAGTGAGGAGTTAGGGTTGAGGGTGATTTGGTCACATATCCAAATGGGCCGTCCCCCCTGTGCAAAGTACATCCGTCATGACCTCCCATGTCACCCCGGGCCTGTCATGGTAATAATCGACATCACTGGTGAACGGAGGCAGCCGCATCACCCGGCGAATTGTTTGAATTTGAGCACTAACCACCATACCCCGAACAATCACCTCCCTACCCAAGTTCAATGGGCAGTTGGCATAAAATTCACGAACCAACATCTTGTTAACTGGTGCAGGGTCAGCAAATAGGAACTCCATTTCCCGCCTCCGTATTTCTTCATACATCTCCACTTTTTCGGCTCGGAGGGCTACCCGATCAATCGGGATTTCATGGATGAACGTTTTTGTAGCCTTGGCGTTGAAGTCGTCCTCGGCCAGTTCCGATTGGAATCTGGACTCATCATAAGCAGGTCGTTGGGATGTGCCTCCAGAGCGCCTTTGCCTTTTGGGAGCCATTGATCCTGCAAATAATCAAACAAACCATCAACATATGCCCTAGCTAGTGCCAATAAGATGGTTACTCAGACTTCACCACCCAATGACACCCAATATAGCTCCTTTCTTCACTCATAACAACCCCTACAATAGCTCCATAATTGTCTTACCACTTCCGGCATAATACACCCCACACTTATTCCTTTCAATGGTACCCATGACATACAGCACCACCATACAACAAATACCACTCTACAACAAATAACACCATACAACAAATACCACTCTACAACAAATACCACCATACAACAAATAACTACACATCAAGAACCATCAACTACAACATCCCAAACCTAGGTTGGCTTAAACACCCCAAAAATATACAACATAGTGCCACAATTTTCGGCCAACACATGACCCAATACCATACTACACCACAAAAATCTAGTTTAGGCCTCCAACCCACCAAAACAATTTCACAATTATGTAATAATGGAGACCAAATTAATTTAGCACCAAACAACCTCATATACATTAACTACAACAAATACAACAATTTCAAACATAAAAGAAAGCAAAAAAGAAAATTAAAAAAACATTCAAATTACTACACTAATTCTAACTAGGGTTTAAGTAAAACTACTAATTTTAACAAATTACACTACTTAGAAGAGAAAGAAATAGAGAGAGAAGAATAACTTACTTGAGTTGAAGAGGGGAAGGAATGGAGGTGTGTTAATGGAGGTTTGGGGAAGAAGGGTTGGTAGGGGTGTTGAAGAAAAAGAAGAAGGGGAGTTGTAGGTGAAGAGAGAGAGAGAGAGAGAGAGAAAGAAGTGGATGAGGGGGAAAGGGCGGAAATAATTGGAGTGTAGATAAGAGGGGGGGTTTTGAGGGGGTTAAAAAGAAAAAAGAAAGAAAAAAAATACAAACGAAAAAATACTTACCT